ATATTTTACCGTAATCGCTTTTTGAATGGTTTTCAGTAAAAAAAACTGTTATACTCGTACTGTATTACAATAATATTCTATCCTATCATTAGCCTTATAATCCCACAACTGAAAACCATTCGAAAAGCGATTACGGTAACATCTTTTGAACGAAAGAAAGCGAAAGTCATTGCTTTCGTCACTTTCCACTGTAATACGTACATCATTTCAGCAAAAATATTACATTTCCATCTTCTCAGAAATAAATGGTAGTTTTGTTGAAAGGTAATGTACAGTATTTAACATTAAAATGCAAAAATAGCTATAAAAACAATTAATACACCCGTAATGTACTGGCTGGCATCTCCACTCGTCCCTGCTCCCGCCAGTCACCACTCCTCCCCGCTCTATCCCTCCGCCTCCTCCACATCGTCACTACTGTTGTATTACAATCATATTCTATCCTAATTGACTTGAATAAATACTACGATACCATATTTCTGAATATTTTCATTAAAATCAATCCAAATCATTTTCCTTGCCATCGTCTGCAGCACCACACAGCTTCTCCCAGTCCTCTCCTTGAACGGGGCCAGAGGGTACGTGTTTTTCGAATCGTTTTCAATTAAAAAACTGTTACATCACACGTATATTTTACCTAAACTGCGCCCGAATGAATATATTCTTGGAAATAAATAGTAATTTTGCTGAAACGTGATGTATTTCAATGTAAAATAGGATAAAATACATGACGAAAACAAAAGACTTCACCTAACCTTGCAATGTTCAAGAGATGTTACTCGTTTTTTTAATAGTTTTCGGTTACAGAAATGAAATATTTTTGCTGAAATGACGTAAGTATTACAGTGGAATGTAGGACAAAATCGTGACGAAAACAATGACTTTCGCTTTCTTTCGTTCAAAAGATGTTACCGTAATCGCTTTTCGAATGGTTTTCAGTTAAAAAACTGTTGTATTACAATAATATTCTATCCTAATTCACTTGTGATGCAACAGTTTTTTAACTGAAAACCATTCGAAAAGCGATTACGGTAAAATATTTTGAACAACGAAAGAAAGCGAAAGTGTTTAGTCATGATTTTATCCCACTTTCCACTATAATATGTACGTCATTCCAGCAAAAATATTACATTTCCATATTTATTTCCGAGAATATATTCATTCAGTCACAGTTAAGGTAAAATATACTTGTGATGTAATATTTTAATGAAAATCCAGTATCGTAGTTTTTTCTTGTTTCAAATTTAATTAACAAAGATTGATGCTTCAAATGTAATGAACAAAAATTTATGTCCAGTATCTACGAGTTAACTTTAATGAATGAATACTTTGTTTTACATCGTCCTGTGCTACCATACCATGGATTTGGCTACTTTGGGCTCGCAAGAGATCTGCCCTGGCAACTGTACCGACACTCACAGCTGGTGGTGTGTTGGTGCATCGTTTCCATTGTTTTCTGGTAGTTACTGGTAAATATTTTTCAACCTAACGAAACTATTACCCGTTAAGAGGTCGACCCCCAATTTTTGCCAAATAATTTTGTCTTAAAAACTCAAACTACACACAGGTATATACGGTAAATAAGGACATGGGGGGGCCAGGGATTTTTTTTTGGGGGGGGTAGCAATAGTACACGGATTTTTAACATTCACGGGTATCTCTGTTACCTAACCCCCGCGAATGTTAAGGGCCGACTGTACTTCAATTACTTCAATGTACAGAATATTCCTCTGGCGGGGCAATCCGCGTATTTGCGAATCCGTGAATGCTAAACCCGCGTATGTGAAAGGCCGACCGTACGTCCGTGCCCCCCCCCCCCTCGAAAAAACACTTCCGTGATGCCTGCTGGACCACCACTCCAAGACCCCCCTGATGGAGACACGACGATCCTTCCCGTACTGGCTAGATGTTATGTGTTAAAGGAATATCATTCCTTAGGCTTTAGTAAGCATTTTCCTCCAGGTGTAATGTTAACCTACATCTATTGAGGATAAAATCTTTCACCTACAAATTGACAATAACACATTTGCTGTAATCGGACATATCTAGTTGCCTCAACAATTGCAACCCTAGTTGCAATTTGAAATTCTGTGTCATTACTGAGGAATAACGAAGTCTCTGGTGCACTGCACTCTAAGATTAAGAGAAAATGGACTCGGGCATCCCGAAGGGAGAGAAAACGGACTTCCACGACGGGAGACTCGAGCACTAACACGTGCCACTCATACCGAGAGACTTGACAAGTTTTACCGACCATTAGTGATGTACGTTATCTAGTGAATTTAGTCAATATTGTACAGTATAAGTATACTGCAATTACAGCGGTCCCTCGGTTAACAATGGACCCGAGTGCAAACCCTTACTGTACGTGTACTAAACGATTACGGTACTTAAATTGTTATGTCTATGGCAAATATAGATTGTTTACACAGATATTCAAATACTATCTTACAAGTTATATTCACTCAGGTCGTTTGGGTGGCAAATTATGAGAAGAGCTTAGTCACTCTTAAGTAATGATAAATAAACACTCGGGCCTTCAGCGCCAACTGTCAAATCTTATCTCAAATAAATAAAGACATTGTCACCTCCCTTCCCCCCCCCCCTGCTCGCTGGCTACCTCCCTCCTTGTGTTCCCAGACAAAACATTGGTGATAACTTTATGCTTTAAGGTGTTTATTTTATATAATATCTCAGACTAAAGTTAGGGGATTACAATTTGCATAGCTGGAATCCTTGCAAGACAGCCAATAATTTGAATATAAACATTATATATATACTGTATTTTGTTGAAGATATAAAAATTGTAGTACATTTTATAATATAAAGTTTTTCAACTGTATTTTTGGGTAGATTTATATCAATTTCTTCATCCATTTACATGCAGACACCACAATAAAAGAAACGTAAAAGAAATAAACGACCTCGGTGCAAAGCCGGAGCATTGTTGTACTAATTTGATTACGGTACAAAAATTGTTATGTCCGGTGCAAATTACAGCATGTTTATATTCAAATTAATCAGTATGTTACAAGAATCCCAGCAATGTTAATTATATTGTACCAGGTCATTTCACTGGCATTTTAAAATGAGAGAAGCTTAGTAGGACTGTTAAATAAACTCACAGAGACCTTCGGCTCAAACTGTCAAACATCTCCTCTTAACTCTCTCCCCCATCTGTTGAGCCAGGGTTTTAGGCTTACAGTTTTTATCTTACATAATATTTCAGACTAAAGTTAGGAGATTATAATTTGCATTGCTGGAATCCTTGCAAGACAGCCAATCATTTGAATGTAAACGTCATATATTTTGCTCAAGAGATAAAAATTGTTGTACATTAGTGTACAGTACTGTAGTACATTTTATAATATAAAGTGTTTCAACTGTATTTTTGGGTAGATTTACATGAATTTCTTCATTTATTTTCATCCATTTACATGCACACACCATACTAAAAGAAATAATTGACCTTAGTGCAAAGCTGGAGTTTTCTTGTACTAAAATTGTTATGTCTAGTGGAAATTATAGCACGTTTATATACATATTAATCGGTACGTTCCAAGAATCCCAACAACGTCAATTATATCGACCCGGGTCATTTCCCGGCCGGGAAAAAACGCGCCACAGACCCGGGCGCCGACCGTCGGTGTCGCCGGGCTTTATCTTAAATAATGTCACAGACCAAAGTTAGGAGAATTTTATTTGCATTGCTAAAATCGTTATAAGACGGCTAATAATTTTAACATAAACGTTGTATATTTAGCACAAGACATAAAAATTTGTAGCCCTTTGTAATAAAATTAGTTACAAGTAAAATTTGTATGTGAGCTATAGCATGTTTCTATTGAAAGTAATCACATTTTTATAAGAATTCCAGCAATGTTAATTCTATTCCAAGTCAGTTTAGTGATATTTCATAAAAGAAAAACTGAAAGTCACTGTTAAGGACAGATAAATAAATAAGCTCTAGACCTTGGCATCAACCGCCAGGAATCCGATCACGAGTAAACGGGCCATTTCGCGTCTCACGATTTTAGCCGCGTCGATTTACGAGCGTCCGTTTTAACGCGACGCCACCAAAAACGACGTTTTGTAGGAGATGGGCCGAGGTGCATTTGGGTATACTCGGTCTTTTTAGTATTTTGCGTTTGTCTCGAGTACCAGAGTAAATTGTTCCATTGAAACCACTTTAATTGAGTCCGAATTTGGTTTAAAGCTATTAGCTCTCTAGGAATGCGTCTCGCGTCGCATCGACGTCGTACCGTACGTGCGTCGGTCACCCGGCAGCATCTGTGAGACCGGTAACAATTTTAAATGTAGCGTCGACAGCGTAATATTCGACAATGCGGTGGTCGTGGCGTCCCGTTTCTTCGTTTTAGTAAATAGTAAATTTTTATACGCGTGTCACGTCGGCAGACGCGAGAAGCGATCGTCGGCGGATGCGGCATCGAAGATTCGCCCGTATTGCGTAGTAAATGCGGTCGTGCGTCGTTCGCGAAAGTACTGTTTACGTAGTCTGGCGTGCAGTATGTGCATTTTCTGGCAATAGTAGTTACGATCCACAAACTTAACCCACAGAAGAAGTCGCCTCGGGCAACGGCAGCGGAAGCGCGATCCGGGAGACGGACACGAAGAACGACCGTGGATCGCCGCTCCGGAGACGGGTCGGCGAGTGCCGCTCTCCGACGTAAGACGATCGTCGAGAATATCGTACGTGTTTTTCTACGTTTATGGATGCTATAACTAAAGCTCAGTCAATAGTTATTTTAGCTTAAGGTCATATTATACGTGTATTTGTAATGTACGGTATTTCATTAAGTATGAATGCTAAAACTTGCCCGACGGTCGACCCCCAAAACGACGGCGGCGACGCGCTCCGGCACTTTCGAAGGCGGAAGCTCCAGTACCACGGCGTTAAAGATTAGCGGATGGTTTGGCGGCCTATACCACCTTGTTCCCTCTACCTCCAGCTAAATGTATCCCTCCCTCCACTTACCACTCTTCCTTTCCCTTCCACCCCTCTATCCCACCATTTGTCCCCCCTCCCTTTCTTCACGTACCACTCTTCCTTTCCTTATCTATTATCCTTCTGCCACCTACCACCCCTCTATCCCTTCCCTATCACCTCTCGTTCCTTCCACTTGTGTTTTATTGGTTTATTTAATAAGTTTTATAGTATATGATGGTCACCTTATTAATAATGTAACATTTTGTGTGATTACAATTACACTACACACACTTAGTCGAAGTGACCAGTTATTAGTGTTGATATTAATGGGATAAATATTAGATAAGTTTATTGGAGTTTGCTATAAAATATGTGACTATAATTATAAATTGTGAGTGTGAAGAAGGGTTTATAAGTTGTATATATGTCAATTAGAGGAACAAATAATTTGCTAACCACACCCTAGTCCTTCAATGGAAAACGCATCGAAATGCGCAGCGGCGAATGCATTCGGCGGGAGAATAATGCGGCGACACGCGTAGAATACTCGTACGCCTCTCTCGGGCACGTACGTTTCCATTTACTAAAGTTAGGTGGGTTTGTTTGGGTGGCGTGGGACCCAGAGGGCATCGGCAGGCGGTCGCGTCCGGCGGTTGCCGTGCGAGAAATTGGGAGGACGGGCTTTCACGTTGCAGAAATTAAGGAACGGCATCTTCCGGCGGAACCACAGCCCGCGATTAAAGGAACGCTCGGGTTTGACGCCCACGGACCGAGCGCGCGGCTCCTCCGCCGTACATTTCGTCGTCGGTAACAAGAGTAGTCGATTGAAGTCCCCTCTTTTGCCTGGGTGGATGTGTCTGTGCTAACCGTTTTAGGCAAGTGAATGTTTGGTACAGCAGATTTGGGGATTCATTGTAGGGTAGACTTGCCATACAGTGCAGTGTTTTAATTGGTATTATATTGCGGCGATCGGCGAGCACGGAGACCGAAGCCTCACTCGACCGTGTCTCGGGAGGCGTGGGGTTTGGTCCGAGGCCACTCGCAGTCATCGTCGAGGGTATAGTCCGGAGCGCCGTTCGACGTGACGTCTCGTCGAAATTCCGGAGCGGTCTTCTCGTCGCGGGGCGCGCCGGAGGTCGACGCTACGACGTTCCCGGAGGGGTCGTCGTCGTCGTCGTCGGGTATTTGACGTGCATCCGGAGTAGAACGAGGGCACGCGTCGAACCGTCGAAAGTGCGCAAGAAATGAGATCGCGTAAATAACGGCAGATTAATTTCGTCGACACTCGTACGTATAAGAGTGCAAAGTAAATAAATAATACGTATTTTTTTTATGGGAATTAGCCCACCCGGGCACGGGTCACCGACCCACATCGGGGCGAAAATGTAATAATAATAATAATTGTTGAAGTTACAGTGTTCATTTTTGGTGGATATCAACGAAATATGATGCGAGAGGCTCAGACGACGACACAAACGACGACGCTCTCTCCGGTATATTTTCGGGACCGTCCGTAAAAACGAAACCAAAACACACGTGCGCATTCAAAGTGGCGCTTTATTCCACAAGTAAAATATAACATATTGCCATAAATATGGGGTAACCTAGTTTATATGTAACAATAATACTGAAGAACCTTAAAGAAATACAAAATGGAAAAAAAAATCAAAAGTGAGGAACAATATATTTATGTTGTGTTGTCAATAGTAAGAGAAACAATCGAGTGTTAACGAGGCAGAGAGTCAGACGAGCGACCCGGGACTCGGTCACAATTTTAGGGATGCCACGTAGCAGGAAGATCTACCACGGACGACACATTACGCTTCCAATATTGTCTGCGGAGGTGGTATCTCCCCGTTTGGTGGCTGCCTAAGTATGTAAGATTTTCCAATGGAAAGTGTATGTTTGGCAAATGTATCCAGGTCTTTAGAGAATGTACTCAGATATTTGGGTTAGGTGTCAAGGGTTCATGTATAATTTGCATGCCTAATTGACTATGTATATTTTTTAACCTTAATTTTTCATTTGCAGTCACCCGGCGGGAGTCAGAAACGTCATTTTTGTGCGGACCGGCGACTCGACGGACCCCGGCCGAGGACGCCGCTCGAACCGCGGGTGAGAATGTCGGACGACGCCGTATTGTAATGTTTATATCGCAGTGTACGGTATTTACTTAATGGTTCTCTGAAGAATAGGAATGCGTATGTGGCGTGCCTCGGCGTCTCCGTAGGAATTGCGTAGAGTAAGTGGAAGGTTTTTAAGGGAGACGAGAATTTATTAAGCGGCGCGTCGTCGACGAAATATCGAAGGAAGTTTTGACCGGTCACCGAGAGGAAATGATACAGGAATTTACGAGTAAAAGAGTAGAACGTAAAGATAACGAGGGAGAAATGAAAATGCGACCGACGATGAGACTCGGGTGCCATCGAAAATGCGTAGAGGGAAGAGGGACGGACATTACAAGTGTTATAAGGAGAGTACTTAATTTAGCATAGAGATATAGAATTGAAGGTGTCATATCTGGTCTAAAAGTGTTGGATACAATATGAAAAGTATGATTAAAAAATGGGAGTTTAACCCATAAGCCAAGGGTTAGGGTGCTGCTGGCACTTCCCCCTCCCTTCCTATTGGGATAAATCGAGAAACAAGACGAATTCTCCCCACCCCCTCCTCCACAAAGGGGAGACCAGATGGACGTTGTGGAACGTCACCTGGGTGTAAGGGTTAAGAATGTAGTAGCTTGTAATGGAGGATGAGGTATATGTATTTATGTCCTATGTTTTATACTGTATTGCAAGTAGGCGTTATTGTATGCACATTGCGGGTCATAATAGGAACGCGGCACGCCGGAGGCGGGTACACGGGACGATCCCTCGGAACAGAAGCCGAAAGTTCGTGGCGTGGGTATATCCACTTCCCTTAAAAGTGTAATTAGGGATCCTCCTCAGACACATTGCACCATTTGAACGCAGACGTAAGATTATCCTCATCGCCGTACACGTCCCGAGGAGACGAGGCGTATCGAGTTTACGCGGATGCATACGAGACGTTTCCTTTCGAGTACGGGTAGTTCTGCTATAATGCGATAGTTGTGTTCTTGTAAAACATCGTGTTATAGAAATTCGTGTAATAGAAATGACAGGGCTTATGGAGAAAATAGGGTTAGGTGCAGATTACTCCAAATCGACAAAAATTTCGTAGTACAGTCTAAATAAATGTTACATTCATATCTAATATTGAAATCATACAGTAAATGTTACACTTTACCTTGAAAAAATCTGAATATAACTTGATGGGGGAGAAGATTGATGTTGAGGAGTCATGAAACATCAAGCTTTTCTTCGAGTGTTATAGCCTTTCTTTTATGATCACCAGAGTGCTTCCCAGAGATATTCTTCTTTTCCATAGTCACAAAATTGGAGAAACAGTAATCACCGAGGACATTTAAAAATTTCACACGTGTTTCAAACAAAGTGTGGAGTAAACAGAGCGCGCGGGTCTAAAACGCTATGTATTTTGTTTTTCTCTTATTTAAAATTTTACATATACTGTAGAGGTATACTGTATACATAAATATTACATAAATTATTTGTGCAATTCTTCACAAACAAAACACATAAATCAATTGAACTTGCGATGTCGAACGTGAACTGTAAACACTGCATAACCCTGCGCCAAGCCACAATGTAAAGTACACTTTAAACGCTACTTATTTTGTTTTTCTCTTTTATTTAAATTTTTACAATTTACATATTCATATTATGCTACAGCGCCCACAAAACACGAGAAACGTTCGAGTCCCCCAGTAGAGATGTCCGTTCTCTATCCACTCGAGGATGTGTCGGTCGTGCGTTTTCTTTTTGTGTACTCGCTCGGGGACTCGAGTATTTCTGTTTATAACACAGGATGATAAGGGAATTTGAATTTATTTGTTGATTTATTTATTTATAATATACTGTAATATATTAAATATGCTGCAAGTATTTTCTTTAATTTATATACTTTTTTCTGGAAAAAGGGAGGCTACCATTATACCCGGTAATGTACATTTATGGCGATCGTTAAGGACCAAACTCCGAATCCGTGACGTGACTTCCGTTCATCATTTATGTCCTAAATTTACCAATGTGGGTAGTTTCAAGAATTAACGCAGTCATTTACCGAATATTCTTTGCCCAAAAATAAATTTCAAATGAATTATTTATAGGAGATAAGTATTATGATCAGTAAATATACCGATATGCATTACCGACCACAAGGACGGCTAAAAATAGGCACAGACGGTCACAGTCGAGGTCACTTTCCCTTTGTTGTCACTGTAGGACCTTGTGAGTGGTTTACTGTATACATAAATATTACATAAATTATTTCTGCAATTCTTCACAAACAAAACACACAAATCAATTGAATATGCGATGTCGAACGTGAACCGTAAACACTGTGTGATGTAAAGAGAGCGCCGGTGTAAAACGTTATGTAATTTGATTGTCTCTTTTATTTAAAATTTTACAATTGACTTATAATATATAGGTATACTGTATACATAAATATTACATACATTATTTCTGCAATTGTTCACAAACAAAACACACGACTCAATTGAACACGCGATGTCGAACGTGAACCGAAGCCATAACAATCGTTCGAGTGGAATCGCGTCGGAGCAAACGAGTTCGCGTCTTACAAATATCGTTTCTCAATTCATAAATCGCGTCGTCAAAACACGCGTTATAGCAGAACTCGCCGTATAGTTTTTGGTTCACCGCCAACACGTTTATCCTCGTACCGGATCTCCGTCGTCGCGTATTTTTACGCGACATCTGCGGAAGTTACGTTCGCCGGACGTTCACAGACGTAAATGGTACGACCTCGAGAGCACGACGTACATTCGGTCGTAAAGTACACCGGTCCGGATCGAGTGGACTTTCCCAATCGTCTTATAGATTTCTCGAGTTCTTGGGAATGGTACGAATATGTACAATTAATATTATGTTATGTATAGGTATATTGTATGTTTTTTGATAATCGTTAAGTATGGGAGGTGGCGACGTGCACACCGTACCGACGGGTGGAGGAGCGTCGAGTTTGATTTTGTATTAGGCGACGGGGTCGCGGGTATTTACGGAGATACGGCAGAGCGCGACGTCGGCGCCCGCGTACGGCACGAGCGGGAGGAGTAATTTGTGCGGGACGTAATTGTGGGGTAGTCGAGTATGCCTGTGTGTTTTAGTTGGCAATAGTGTGTAGATATGTTTGTGTATAGGTATACTGTAGAAAGAATGAACTTAGATGAAGTTTGTTTGGGAATTAGTATAATTTGTAATAGTAGATAATTGTCGATATATTTTGACAGTAATTTGTCCGTTTCAGTTGCGGAGGAGCGCGCCGATACGAGTCGGAGACGGCTCGTACAGTCGGCGCACGAGAGCGGTCCGGACGAAGACATTCGGGAACCGAGGACGAAGACGCTCGTCCACTGCGGACGAAGACACCGGTCGACGCGCGAGGAAGATGCTCGGGAACACGGGAAGAACGCCACACTCCCGAGTGCGGGAAGACACTCGTCAACGCAGAAGGAGACACGCATCAATGTCGGGCCGGCGTGATTGTTGTAAAGACGATTTAACGTGTAAAATGAATGTACGTGTTGTTTGTAACGATTGTTATAATGTTTGTAGTATTGTTTTTAGAGACCGACTCTGCGAAGACGGAGGAAGTCGATACATGTCGAGAATGAATTTATTGAAGATGTTGCCTGTGATCACTAGGTGTTTGCACTAATTTGGGGAGATGATTACGATCGTAGAACGTCACGGAATGCGGCGCGCACGTCATTTGTGGCGGGACGCATCCGTAAATAACGGCAGCGTAAATACGAGAGAACGCGGCGGCGGCGGGGAAGCGCGCCTTTTGAAAGTAAAAGAACGGGGGAGATCGGACCGACATAGATGGTGTTGTTGTGGTAACCGATAAGAATGGAGAAATGATGACTATTTGGTGGGTTTTTTAGGACAGAGAGAGTAGTTATATATTAGTGAAGATATAAAGTAAAAGGTGATAAGGATGGTGGTGGGGGGACAACGAATGATATATTTTGTAGGGTATTAAAGGAATTGACTCGTCAGTGCCGAGTCGGCGTAATTGTGAGAAACGGATGCGACGGGGATTTTAAAGAAGTCGCGCGGTAGAGGAATTGCAGGGAAATTGGCGGAAGCGACGATCGCAATAACCTTTCGACGTGGGACGGACGACGACGAATTTAGTAAATGGCGGTTTAGGAAAGGGTCGTACGTAAAGCGGCGCGTGCGGATACGGACGACGGTCGATCGGGGTCCGTTTACGGGACGGGAAAGAGGACCGACGGAGAACGGACGGAGACGAGGCGGCGCACAAACGAAAGTCTCCGAGGTACCGCGGGGAAGTACGGCAGTAGTTACGGAAGTATACCCGCGAGATGCGTAAAGAATGATTTGGAAGTAGATTGAACTGAGAGTCGCGTGTTTGAAATGGCGGGAAGGTTCGACAGGTGTATTAGTTTTACGTAATTGTGGCAGTGCGTTTGAGAGCGGGCAGTCGTGGAATGCGCGTGGGTACCTATTTTGAGACAGCGACATCTACCGGTAAGGAAATACGTGATGCAGCAGTAATATATTTTTGGGATGAATTTATACTCGTTCACCCGTACTCCGTGTTGCTCCACTCGTGTTAAGGTGTTTATTGTGAAGGCGTTTGTATAATAATAAAATTTGTTGGACGAGTAGGGGAAGGAATACGAGCACAATGTTTAATTTGTAAGCCCTCCCTTTTTTGTCTTTTCCCTCTGCCTCCCCGTCCTCCTCCTCCTCCTTTTTTGACGCGTTCCTCGTTTCTGTGTTTGTCGTGCGGCTTCTCCCCCCTACCTGCTTCTGTCCGTCCTCTTCTTC